GAGCCACCACATCTGGCTGTGTCCCTTTAGAAGCCAGGTGCAGCCCCTGGGGAGAAGAGGCTGCGGGTGCCTCTCGCTGAGGACCTCCCCTTGGGCCCGCAGCGCTGGCCTGCCCTGCCTCAACTGTCAACTGAGCAGTGGCCCCAATCTCACTTCCTGGAGGGCTGGTTTCCTGAAACAGTGCCAGAGACCTTTGGTGACAGGCACAAACTGACACTGTCCCTTTGTCCCAGGAAGCCGGGCGGGCACTGGATTTCCTCAAAACTGGTGGCATGGGAATCAGCGATGCCAGCCAGGTCACCAGGAGGTGCTGGGGCCCTGGTGAGACGCGCGCACTGAGGAAGTGGAAGCAAGCGCCCATTGCTCTAGCTCCCCGTTGCAACAGGGTCAGTTGCTAACTGAATTTGGATGAAAAAAAAATTCCTACTTATGAACAACACTGTGGCACTCACCTAAATTCCCAGCACTTTGGGAGGCTGAGGCAGGAGGATCTGAAATTCCAGCCCAGCTTGGAAAACTTAGCAAGACCCTGTCTCAGAAAAACAAAACAGGAGCCGGGCGTGGTGGCGCACACCTGTAGTCCCAGCACTCGGGAGGCTGAGGCAGGAGGATCTGTGCAAGTTCGAGGCCAGCCTGGACTACGAAGTGAGCTCAAGGCCAGCCTGAACTGCATAGGGAGACCCTGTCTCAAAAAGACAAAACAAAACAAAACAAAACAAAAAAGCCTGGGGCTGTAGCTCTGCGCAAAGGTCCTGCTTCAATCCTTAGTATTAGAAATAAAACAAGAACAAAAAATCCAGCAGTCTCTTCAAATCCTTAGTCTGAATCAACCTTCCGGTGGGGAGAAGTGGTGTTCACAGCTCTCTGAGGTCCCAAGCCTGTCCCTGAGCTTCCGGTCAGTGGCCCCATGTGCACCAGGGGCCACTCCCAGCCCCAGAAATCCCAGTGCCACCCGCTAGCTTCCAGGACCCGGACGCTACAGGGAAGTCGTGTTTTATTTACCATTTTGAGATGAACATAGAGTTACAAGGTCAGTGCAAGCCTCTGAGGGAAGCACTGATTTGGTTTTAGTTCCATCTCGAGACAAACGGGCAGATCCAGGACCTGTACAAGGCGACGGGCCAGCACGACACTGCCGGGCCCCAAAGCTCGGGTTAGTGCAACACTCACGCACACACGCACACACGCACGCACGCACGCACGCACGCATGGTGTCCCACGCCAGGTGAAGACAGCGTTTTGGATCTGGACATTTTTTGGTGTTAGAAACACTGGAGACAGAGCCCGTGAGAAACCAAGACCACGATTCCTGGCACTGGCATCAGCTGGTCGCGTGAACTCCCCGCCACAAGGACAGGGTTAGGGCAGGCGCGAAGAGCCCGGTGCCACGCTGGCCACACAGCACACCAGCCTGTGGGGAGAAGCCCGGGACAGCTCCCGTGCCTCGGTGTCCTCCCCTCATCCTGCAGAGGAAGCCCAGGGGGAGGACACATTCCTCTTCTGCAGGGGGGCTGTAAGTCCTGTTCAGGCAGGAGCGTTTGGAAGGAGTCATTCCTTAAGGTCTCCTATGTAGCCCAGGCTGGCCTCGAACTCTTGTCGCTCCTCCTGCCTCAGCCTCCTGCGTGCTGGGATTACAGGCGAGCGTCAAGCCGGGCTCTGATGAGTCCTTCTCACAGCATCTCAGCAGGGGTGGAGAGGGCAGGCGGAGCGTGGGAAGGAGGACCCCGCGGCAGGGTGCTGCAGAGGTTGCTCCCACATCACCACGTGATCGGGCTGGGAAAGGCCTCTTCCTTCATTTTCGGACACAGTACAAAGGCTTGAAAAGGAAACAGGAGCGCGGGAGGGCCCCAGGAGGGCAGGAGCGAGCCCCACGGGTGGGACAGGCAGGAGAGGGACGGAGCCCCGCAGGGAGGGGCGACCCGTCGGGGAGCGACGCCAGGCACACGCACAGCCGACCCCCCTGGTCGCCCACGACAGAGGAGCCCTGGGGACGCACGGTGGCTGTGAGCGCCGCGGTGGGGCCGGAACCTTGGCTCGTGGGGGAGGTGCGGGCCAGTGTCGCCCCGGGCTGCTCCGTGCCCACCACGCCCCTTGGCATTGCCCGGCTGCTACAGCCTCCTAACTGCCCGGCCGGGCGGCCTGACCTCAGGACCTGCCCCCGCGGTGCCCACCGCCCGGCTCAGATTCACGGGGGGGACACTCCAGGCCGAAGCTCGCCCCAGCCCGGGCCTGGGGGCCGAGTGGTTCTGTCCCTGCGGGGAGGGGGGCCCCGAGACCGCGCTTCCCTCGGACGCGGACGTGGTTTACTGTCCGGGGCCGCCGTCACCGCGGCGGCTGTCACCGCACCTGCGGCTCCCCGAGGCCGGGCGAGGCCGGCACGCGGCACCTCAGTGGGGCGGGGCGCCCTGGGCCCCGAAAGTGCGGCAAGGTCAGCGTCGGCCGGAGGCAGAGGACGGGAGGGCCACCAGGTCCTCGGCAGACACGCGGCCGTCACGCCGGGGCGGGGCTCCTTGTGCGCCACGTCCTCGGAAGGCACAGTGTGAGGCGGGCGGGGCGGGCAGGGTGCGGCAGCCGGGGGCCCAGCCGCGGGGACAGCAAGGCCGGTCCCTCGAGGGGCCCAAGGTGCATGCTGGGAAAGGAGGGGACGCGGCTGCGAGCGGCGTCGAGGGCGCCCTCAGCCGGACGGGCAATCCGGGCGCTGGCGGCCGGCAGAGGCTCCTGGGACGGCTCCCGGTCCCATCTAGGTCCCCGCTTTAGGGATCTACAACATAGAAGGAGAGAGAGAGAGGGTGTTAGAGAGGGTGGGGGGGCCCTGCAATCGGTGCCCGCGGGCGGGGGGCAGCAGAGGGAGGGAGGGGGGGAGGCTTGCTTTCTTTTTTAAATAGAAATTGCTTATAATGGGGTAGGTCTGAGAGAAGAAACTTTCACCGTTTTATCTCTGACTTCTCGTGGGGGGTGTTGAGACAGAGTCTCGCTATGCACTTCAAGCTGGCCTTGAACTCACTAGCCCAGGCTGGCCTCCAATTTACAGTGATCCTCCTGCCTCAGCCTCCTGAGTGCTGGAGTCACAGGCAGGTGTCACCATGCCTGGCTTTGCTTTGTACCTTTGATCTTTACGAGAAATTCAAATAGAAGACCCAGTCAGATACTCCAGCTTATTTTCTTTCTTTTTACTTGGCCCTGGGGATGGAACCAAGGGCCTCCTGGCACGTGGTAGGCCGGCGGGGTAGGGCTTCACCACTGAGCTTCAGCCCGGGCCTGACTGTATTACGATTATTGTTATTTGGTGGTACTGGGAATGAACTTCAGGCTTTTGTATTTCGCTACATCCCCAGCTCTTGTTTATTTATTGTTTTTAAAAATTTGAGACAATCTCATTAAGTCTAAGTTGCCCAGGCTGGGCTCAAAATCACGATCCTCTTAACTTAGAAAGATGCGTTTCCCAGCACGGAAACTCTTGGCTCCTTATGAAGTCTTTGGTGAGAAGGAGCCTGCGGCCAACAGTGAAAGTTCTTCCTCAGGGAGGGATGGGACGGCAGCCGGGGTTCCAGGGCGGAGGAGGAGGAAGAGGAGGAGAAGGCAGGGTTTTAAAAAAGCATTTGGCTAGAACATTCCCCACCACAAAAGAAAGAGTTAAATAATCGTATTACATAGAATAATTTTCTTGGAAAAGAGAAAAATCACTTAAAATACACAACATTGAGAAAAATATAACGTTTATTAGAGAGGCAGATAGAAGGGTACAACTAGAAGATACCAGACAGAGTCTTTTCTTTTAGGAGAATAGAAAGGAACACTCACATCAGCTGTATGCAAAGAAAACTTACTCAGAACCCAGTGTCTATAACAAACCCCAGGGCGGAGCGGCCAGCTGGGGTTCTAGCTGCAGCGCAAGAGTCCTGGGGCTGCCCCAGAATTACAAAAACAAAAAGGTCGTTAGGCAGCGAATCATCCATAAAACAAACAGATGAAAGAGGAAAACGTTAAAACAACTGCTTCAAGTCATCCTTTTAGTTTTTAAACTGCAGTATATACAAATATATTCTGTGGAGAGAGTTACAGACGTGTTTAACAGGAAGCAACTTAAAAAAACACAAACAAAACCCACAAAAGTCACAATGCAGGTGACCAATCAGACATTACTCAGTCTAAATATTTTGGCAATTATTAAATAAGCATATCGTGGACGACACACACACACACACAAAGTGCACTGGCAGTATTAAAAATAAAACAACTGAATCCAAAACCAACAACCCTGCCCAGGCCGGAGGGGTAGGTTTATACATGAGACAGGGGAAGCGCTCCTAGGTCCTCAGAATTAACCTCTGGTGTAGCTTTCAAATAGAAGGAGAAGACTTCAGGAACAGCTGGGATTTTGCTTTTTTTTGAGACAGGGTCTCCCTCTGTAGTTTAGGCTGGCCGTGAACTCACTATGTAGCCCAGGCTGGTCTTAAACTTACAGTGATCCTCCTGCCTCAGCCTCCCGTGAGCTTGGCTAACTTTGCTTCTTGTATTTTAATAGCAAACGCTGGGAGAAAATAAAGCACACTTTGGTGAGGAGGGGGATTCCTGACTGTTTGGCGAGGGTCCCCACATTCTCCGTGCTTCCCCTTGCTCAGAGGGAACTAAAGCCCAAGGGAGCTTTCCGGGTGGGGGGGCGGGGCATCGGGATGGGCGAGGAGCCTGTATAGGTCCTGGGGCGCCGCTTCAGACCCGTTTAAAATCATGATCTCAGATTTCCACCCGCGCCACCTGCACCCTTTGCCCAGCAAGCCACGCCAGCTATTTCCAAAGGGAATTTGCCCAGCTCTAAGGGGAGCAAAGAAAACACCAAGCTGCAGAACAGGCTTTTAAAAGGCGAAGGCCCCTGACCCTACCTCAGACTTACTCAGGGAGGCTTTGCTTTCTCCAGCGCTCGCGGTCTGACCACGGACCCAGCACAGGACAGAAAGGGCGGATTCCCTCTTTGGGTCTGCGGTCTCCCACCTGCCCCGACAGACCCCTGCAGTGACAGGCTCAGCTGACTTCTGTGCTGCCAGACTGAGAAACCTCTTTTTTGCCCCTTGGGGTTCCGGGGATGAGTCCCAGGGCTCCACGCATTCGAGGGGAGCGCCCGCCACTGAGCGGCCCAGCCACGGCCGCTGTAGCGCAGACCTAGAAAGGACACCGCAACAGCTCCCGGGAGCAGGCCTGGGGGCAGCGGCTTCACCAACACCCCATCCGCACAGGCGTCCGACGGGAACGTGCGAGCCCGGCCTGCTCGTGTATCCTGGGAGCCCAGCCATGGGGGACTGAGGCGGCGGGAGGACTGCAAATTTGAGCCCAGCTCTGGTGACTTGGCCACTTAGTAACTTATTGAGACCCTCTCTGAAAATAGAAAGAGCTGGGGATGGAGCTCAGTGCAAAGGCCCTGGGTTCAATCCCCAGTACTGCCAAAAAGAAAAGAAAAAGAAAAAGAAAAAAAAGTGTACACGGTCGACATATACATTTAAACAGTCAGGTTGGCTAGCGTCAGCCGCCACTTCGTCTGGAATCAAAGTCTCACACTAAGCTGCCTGGAGTGGCAGCCTCGGCTCCTGAACAGCTTGGGCCACAAGTGTACCCCGCCGCGCCAGCCAGCTCCTGCTGGGGCCCTGAGCTTGCCCTGGGCAGCCCGGGGAGAGGGTCCTGCAGCTCACCCTGCCATCCTGGTAACTGCTGGGGCGTTGGTTACCTTTCAAAATAAAATGTCTTTAAAGACTCAGGTTGTCGTTAGCAGAGGTTACTCAGTCCCATCGTGGTGGCCCTTGGGAAGCGTACAAACCATCACAACTGGAGTCTCCCCCGCCCCCGCTGGTACCAGGAACCGAACTCACGACCTTGTGCTTGCCAGGCAGGCGCTGTGCCGCTGAGCTAAATCCCCAGCCCCACAACTGGAGTCTTGACACAGAGCAGCACGTGCCTGTGACCCTGCCCGGTTCAAAGAATCTGGATAAACAGCTCTCACCTCTCTTTCTTTCCTTCTTTTTTTTTCTTTCTTTCTTTCTTTCTCTCTCTCTCTCTTCTGAGACAGGGTTTCACTATGTAGTTCAGGCTGGCCTTGAACTCACGGCGATCCTCCTGCCTCAGCCTCCTGAGTGCTGGGATTAAGCTCTTGTTCTTAGATTTCATTTCAGGGCTGGGGATGTGGCCCAGTGGCAGTGTCTGCTTAGCATCTATGAGGCCCTGGGTTCTGCCCTCAGCACCACATAAAAAACGAAGAAAAATCAGCTTTCGATTGATTCAGCTCATAAAGTGAGCGGCAATGTAGATGTAAGAGGCTGATGTCCTACGTAGAAGCAGGACAAAATCACTTCAAAAAGCCAAATAAAAAGAGGACCTTATATGACACGGTCACTCCCATCCGCTGAGGGCCGGCTCTCGGTCAGTGCAGGGAGGGGCCCCGCGCGGGGACAGGGACGGTGAAGATGGGCTTGTGACCCCCTCATCATGTAGCCCGTGTCACCACCTAACATCCGTCCCTGCTCAGCACCAACTTACAAATGCAAACCCTGACCCACCCAGATTCCTTCAAAGTGGTGAGAGGTGGGGTTTTATTCCAGCTTTGGGTAATCACATAAGAACGCCAGAAATCCTACAACTTCCATTAACTTTAACCTTTGGGGCTGAAAGATGCTGATGATTAAAAAAAGAAAAAAGAAACAAAGAAAAACCTTCTCCAAGGAAGGGCACGCCCAAGTGCTCCTGTTGAAGCTGTGGTGGCCCTGGGTCCTATTTTTTTTTCCTTTTTTGAGACAGGGTCTCCCTATGCAGTTCAGGCTGGCCTTGAGCTCACTTTGTAGGCCAGGTGGGTCTCAAACTCGAAATGATCCTACTGCCTCAGCCTCCCGAGTGCTGGGATTTCAAGCATGCGCCATCACTCCCAGCTTCCTGGGTCCTAATATTTTTGGGGGTGGGGTCCTATTATGGCTCCACCTGGGACAAGCCCGAGACATGAGCCGAGCCTGGGAAAGTGAGGTTGACAGCAGCCGAGGACAGAACTGCTTTCCTCAGAGCTAATCTCCTTGGGGAGCCGGAGGGTCAGGGACATGCACATCCACACCAACTGCCTTGTTTTTTAGTTACTCCGTTTTTCTGAGGATGGGTCTCGCTAAGTTGCCCAGGCTGTTTTTTTTTTTTTTTTTTTTTTTGGTGCCAGAATTCGAACTCAGGACCTTGTACTTGCTAGGTAGGCGTTGTGCTGCTGAGCTACATCCCCAGCCCCAGACCATCCTTCAGTGTGCGATCCTCCTGCCTTAGCCTCCTAAACCGCTGGGGCTGGAGGCGGCACTACCAAGCATGATTTCCCTCACTCCTCGACCACACTCTCCCAGGCTCCCTGGGTTGTTGGGACCACAGGGACACAGGAGGGCGATGCCACGTGGGCTGCACAGCGGGATGCACACTGCAGTGAGAACACCCTGCGCCCACGGAGGAGGCTCCGTCCTTCCTTCCCCAGGGAGCGGGAGGCTGCTCTGGCCAGGACTTCCTCCCGGCCAGGGACTAGGAGCTCAGCACTCTAGCGTTTGGATTTGCAAGGGGACGGGGCGGGACACTGCGGCCCCGGGCGAGCAGGCGTTTCTCTGAGAAACCTTGTCAGGAGCCGGAAGGCAGCTCGGCTGTTAGCTACAGGTGCTGCTGTGTGTCGCGCTGCGGGTGTCACAGCTGTCACAGCACCGGGCGGCTCTCCGCATGCGTCTCGCCAGGCAGGGCCACCTGACGGCCACCCAGCCGCGTCCTCCGCGCCTCTGTCGAGGGACTGCCTGGAACAGTCACGGACGTGGGAAGAGACAGCGCCAGTATTTTAGGGAATGTGTTGTAAGTGATATTAAATATAAGTCTTAGCACCTTTGGCGTTTTTGTCCAAATAGACTTCGACGTACGAGGTGGGGACGTAGCCCTCCTCGTCCTCCTTTCTCCGGATGCGCGTCCACCCGTCCCCTTTGTCTTCCTCGATGACGTACAGCGTTTCTCCCTCAGCCACCGAGATGGTCCCTTCGTTCTGACCTGCAGGAGCAACAGCACAATATTTGAGCTTCTCAGTGATAGCCAGACATGGGGGTGCACACTGTCATCCCCGGACTCGGGAGGCTGAGGCAGGAGGATTGCTGCAAGTTCCAGGCCAGCCTGGGTTACATAGTGAGAACCTGTCTCAAAATAAAAAATCAAGCTGGGTGTGGTGGCGCACACCTGTAATCCCAGCACTCAGAAGGCTGAGGCAGGAGGACTGCTGCGAGTTCCAGACCAGCCTGGGCTACAAAGCGAGCTCAAGGCCAGCCTGAACTGCACAACAAGACCCTGTCTCAAAAAAGACAAAAAACAAAACAACAACAACAAAAAAATACAATCCAAAGGTTCCTTCTTGCCCCACGGGCACCTCCCACTTCCTGTGGCAGACCCAAGGTGACCTAAGACCCCAAGCGCCTGCCCAGGAGCCCTGCTGCCCGGCCATGCCCGCCTCCCCTCTGAGCAGCCTGCGAGTTTGACAAACTCCCCGGAGGAGGATGTGTCATGTGCCCCAGGCCTGGCAGCACTCAGGGGCCCTCGGTCACACCCTCACCGCCGCAGCCCAACCCCCAGAGCAGGCACTGCGTGGACGCGGGGCAGGGGGAAGGCACAGCTCCAGGGGCAGACAGCGTGGACACTCGAGCTCGGAAGGCCACGGGAGAACCGGCGGCAGGGGCTGCGCCACCTTCAAACATGTAGAGGGCCTTGCAGGTCCCAATGGCAGGCAGCGGCTCCTCGTCATCAAACTCGTCGTCAAAGTCCGCGGCCAGCACCTTCACCTCGCTCTCCTGGCTCTGCTCCTCCGTGTAGCTGCCATCCGGGCTGCTCAAGACAGGAAGACACACGGCCACTATAGCGACCGCCGCCCCCACCCCTCGCTCCCATCCCACCTGCAGAAGATCTTCCCATCTCCTGTCAGCTGTCATCTACTCATACTTCGGGCTTCCCACAGAACAGCAACCTGGCCGTATTTAATCTGTGTCTGATTTATTTCACTTAACATTATGGCCTCAAGATGCATGCATTTCTATGGATGACTCGTGTGTTCTTTTTTGGGGCAGAGTAGTACTCCACTGTGTGCAAAGATCACAATCTTTAACTCTTTTGGGAAGGTTCCTAGAAGGGGAATAGCTGGGTCAGATGGAATTTCTAGTTTTAGATTTTGAGGAATCCCCATGCTGATTTCCACGGTGGCTGCCCTAGTTTGCATCCCCACCGCTGGTGCACACGGTCCGTTTCCCCTCACCAGCACTTTCACGATGTAACCCTCCTGGAGCGCAGGCTCCCTGGAAGATCACCCGGCCCCGCCCTCGGGGGTGGGGCCTGGACGGGACAGAGGACGGGGCGGCGCCTGGGCAGAAACCGTACCTCTCTCGGTCCTGGGCGCAGTTGTGCCCGGCCGGCGGCTGCTGGCCCTCGTACATCCCGCTCTGCCTGCGACCCGGGTCACCTCTCCCGGGGAGGCGGCCCTCGACCTCCGCCAGCCAGGCCTGGGGACAGAAGCGAGACTCATACCAGTGCCGGAGGCTGGTCTGTCCAGCTACCCAGGGCACTCGGTGGTCATCACAGAGAATGAGGTGAGGGGACCCAGGACAAAGACCCGGGTCAACGTTGGACAGCCCAGGGGGACGAGGCCACCTCGTTCTTCCCACGCTGGACAGTCACAAGGCCCAATTCACCCCCGGCCCACGAGGAGGCAGGAGCCCTGCGCTGTGTTGAACCTGGGCTGCAGGCGGCTCACTGGCCTTGGGTGAGTCATTGCCGGTCCCCAGCCTCCATGACCAGGAAGTCACCCTGGGAGACCCAAGGGCCCTGTTCCTGTCCCCCTCCTCGGAGGCACCGGGGTGGGGGTGGAGCCAGTGCCTTTGCACTAAGCCTCATCCCCAGCCACCTTTTCTAACTTTGTAAAATTTTGAGGCCGGGTCTAAGTCACTCAGTTGCTGAGGCTGGGCTTGAATCTGTGATCCTCCTGCCTCAGCCTCCAGAGTGCTGGGATGACGGGTGTGCTCCCCCGGGCTGCGCTCCGGGAATGGCACCCATGCCCTGCTGTCCTTGTTCCCCGAGCCGCTGCTGCCCCACCTCAAATTTCTGCGCCTCGAGCCGCAGCCGCTCTGCGGTCTGTGTGACCTCCGCGAGCTTGTGGTCCAGGCTGGCCGGGTCCCCCATCTGCGGGTTCTTCAGGTAGACGCCCTTCATCTTGGTGATGGCGTCTCTGAATGAGAACGAGCAGAACACAGGAGCGGCTGTCACAGTGCCAGGTTCCCCGCCACTCTGACGGTGACGAGGCCAGAGCGGGAGCACACCGAGTGTGGGCTGGGACGGGCGGCAGGTGGCTGCTTCCCAGACCCCTCGATGGGAGCTGTGTGCCAACATCCCTCATAGCCTCGGCTGGTTTTTACATTTTGCTGCCTTTCTCTTTTAAAACATTTTTACTTATTTAGACTTCTTTGAAACAGGGACTATGTAGTCCAGGGTGGCCTTGGGCTTACAGCGATCCTCCTGCCTCAGCCTCATAAGTGATGAGATGACAGGCATTTGCCACCCACCCAGCCCAGCAGGATGATCCACAGCAAGGATTATGGGCAAGGGTGAGAGTTATGCCGGCTTCTCTCATGTAGCCAGGTATGGTCATCCTAGCACTTGGGAGGCTGAAGCAGGAGGATCCCAGAGAGTTCAAGGCCAGCCTGGGCTACATAGTGAGTTCAAGGCCAGCTGGAATTGCACAGCAAGATTCTACATCAAAAGCCAAAACCCACACCAAACAAGTTTTCCTCATTTGCGCAAAATAACCATTCATGCTAAGAGAGGCTGAGGACAGAGGCTCAGGGCGGAGCACTTGCCTCGCGTGAGTCTGAGTGCGGGTGGCCCTGGGTTCCATCTGCCCCACGGAGACAGTGCGTGAGAGGCAGACAGCTGTGCAGAATTTGCTGCCAAACTCTGAACAAAGCCTCCCGGGCCTGAGGACCTGGCAGGTCCTCCCCGGGCAGCAGGGAGCGGGGCGCGAAGGCCCTGGAAGGCGCCGCCACCCACCCTACCTCTGATCCATCTCCTTCTGAATCTCCTTGTTCAGCTCGTCCACTTTCTGCTGCAGCTTCTTCCTCCTCTGCTCGGGCGGGAGGTTGCTGAAGTCCTCGGGTGCTGCCCCCTGCGGGCACAATCAGGCGTGAGCAGCAGGGACAGAGGGCCACCACCGCGGGGCAGGCTCGATCAACGCATGCGGAGCCCAGCGCTGCCAACACCGCCCCGGGAAGGGAAGGAGAGAGAGAAAGGGGCACTCCTGACCCCCAGGGAGCCCGGCAGCACCCCCAGGCGGATTCGATCCCCAGTCTGTGTCTCCTTAATGAAAAGGGAGATGCGTCCTCCCCCAACTACTCTGCATCCAATTGTTTTCTTTTCTTTTGTTTTTTTGAGACAGGGCCTTGCTATGTAGCCCAGGCTGGCCTTGAACTCACGGGCGATCCTCCTGCCTCAGCCTGATGAGTGCTGGGATCACAGGCGTGCGCCACCACACCCGCTGAAACTGCTGATTTCATTTCTAGTCTGAGTATTCCTTTCCATTTCTTCGCACAAAGTCGGGCCAGAAGTTTCCATCCCTGGGCAGTGACAGACTGGGACATGGTATTCTTCAGGGACCGGGGGTGAGGAGGACATCAAAAAAAAAAGAAAATCACTCCTTCCCTTCTTAGAGCAGTTGCACAGAATGTCCACCTTGACCTCATCGTCAGCTCCTCATAGCAGAGGACATAGACCTCGCTGTTCTGAATCTGCCACAAAAAGTATATTATAGGTAAAGTGTGGTGGTGCACAGCTGTCATCCCAGCACTCAGGAGGCTGAGGCAGGAGGATCTCTGCAAGTTCCACACCAGCCTGGTTCCAGGCCAGCCTGAACTGCATAGGGAGACCCAGTCTCAAAAAACAAAATGCGTCGTGGTGCACACCTGTAATCCTAGCACTCAGGGGGCTGAGGCAGGAGGACTGTCATGAGTTTGGGGCCAGCCTGGGCTACATAGTAAGTTCAAGATCAACCTAAACTGCATGGTGAGACCCTGTCTCAAAAAAACAAAACCAAACCAGTATATTTTCATATTAAATGCCTTCTCAAATCCAACTGCTGGACTTCCTTTCATGACATGATCCTTCTCGAGGGCCATGCGCCCTGGAAGGAGCTGGACTTCCAACTGTGACGGGTTTCCGGCCCCAGGAGTCCACCAGGAGCCTTAGGCTTGCGGTCCGGGGCTGCTTGGAAAGCGGGCGGAGGGGCGGGGAACACAGTGCTTTTACTAAGCCAGTGGCCTTTGTGAAGGAAACGTATTCACACAGCCGAGGACAAGCCAGGGAATTTAGAAGAGATTTTCTTTGAAAACTTCCATTCTTCTGAAACAAGGGCAAGACAGGCTCGGGGTGGGCGGCAGGCAGGCCCCGGACAATGGGCTTCCGGAAGGGGCTGCGCCGGCCAAGCAGCTTATGGCTTATGGGGGCCTGGAATGTGTGAGGCGGCAACGTCGTCAGAAAGGCCACTCGGAGACCGTGGTGCTCCTGCTCTCAGGGCGCACCGAGGGGCCGGCAGTGACACGCGTGTGCATGTGTGTGTGTGTGTGTGAGAGTGAGCCTGATGTTTGGAATATCTGCAACCTTAATTATTATTTTATTATTATTAATAATTGTAATTATTTGTCTTTCAATTTGTTTGATATAAACACTGCGCTGAGAAGAAAAGGCTTTGTATTCACACTGGAAATGACTTAAACGCAGATCACCATGTTTTCCAGAACTGGGGTTTTTGATTTTTCAAAAGCTGCAACATGCTGGGTGTAGTGACGCACACCTGTTATCCAGGACTCAGGAGGCTGAGGCAGGAGGATCGCCATGAGTTTGAGGCCAGCCTGGGCCACACAGAGAGTTCAAGGCCAGCCTGAATCACATAGCGAGACCTTGGCTCAAAAAAACAAAAAAAGTAAGCAGTCAGTACCAGGCAGATGCATCCTCCTGCCTCAGCCTCCCGAGTGTACCGTGCTGACCACTGATGACAGCACACACACTGCTCTTACTTCCGACACAGCCTCCAGCCACCGCTGTCTGTCACTTTAGGACACTGGTGGCTGCAGTAGGCAAGGTGACGTTGTTAGGGGTTACGGTGGTTAACGGTTTCTTTTAATAAATTTAACTGTTAATTTGGCCATTTAGCGCTGTACAATAAAGCAGGACCAAGAGAAGACAGGAGTTGCTCATGCTAAGGCCTGGGAGGGGCCTCATCGTCCCTGTGACTGCAGCTCGACCACCAGCCAGCTGGTCCGGGTCGGGAGCATTCCAGGGGCTCCGCGCTCCCAAGCCTGCTGTGACACACTTGTCTCTACCTTTTCTCTTAGTTTCTGTGGGTCTCAGGGGAGCGTTTTCCAACGACTCCCTTTACTTTTATTCAAAATGATCCGTGAGTACCACCCCCATTTTTGACAGGTACATTCCAGTTTATAGAGAGCTGAGCACCATCTGTCATCCGCTTTTCTTTCTTTCTTTCTTTTTTTCTTTCTTTGAGACAGGGTCTCGCTGTGTAGCCCAGGCTGGCCTTGAACTCCCAGCGATCCTCCTGCATCAGCCTCCTGAGTGCTGGGATTAGGGGCATGTGCCACCATGCCCAGCTGTCATCCTTTTAAGGCCCCCAAAGAAAGACAACCAGACCCCGGTTAAGTGTTAATGTGAAAGGATTAGGACATCTCTTTAGCTGCAGGCCGTTTACACCCCTCGGTCTAGCGGCCACCAACACAAGCCCCAGGAGACTCGCGCACGCGCGGTTAATCGGGAGGACAGGTCATGCGTGGCCGTGCACAGCACCCACAAGACCCGCAACCCGGAGCCGATTAGATTTGGGACATGCATGGGCGTCGTGCTTACCAGCTTGAGAGAGAGCTTCGGTAAAAACGCAAGCGGTAACGGGACAGAGGGCGCCAGAGGCGGGAAAGAAAGATAAAAAACACATCAGATGAAAAGGAACGCAGCTTGGCCGCGCGCGCCACACACAGCTCATCTGGACGTGGGCGACCTGGAGCGGATCTGTGCGGAAGTCCCCACGAGGGCGGCCCTACGGCAGCGCTCAGGCCTCCGCGGGCCAGCGCCACGGCCAGCTTTCTAGATGGGGGTTCGGCAGGGGCCCGCGGGTCTCGGCCACCAGGGGATGCTTGCAGTCAGTGACACGAGAAAAATACCCATGTGGTCTCTGGGTCACCGGGCTTCTCCCAGAACGTTTCACACGTGTGTTTCTAAGTGGACACCAGGTATTTACCTCTATGACCCGCAAGCACTATTTTCATCTTAAAGGGCTCTAGAATCCAGGCACTTTAGTAAAGGCACTGAGGCCTCCAAAGTTGCTGAGAGGGTAAGGAAGGACTAGAAGTCACTCTAAGAATTGACCCAGCCAGGTGTGGTGCTGCACACCTAGAATCCAGGCACACTGAGAGGCTGAGGCAGGAAGATCTCAAGTTTGAGCCCAGCCTGGCCAACATAGTGACGTGAGACCCATAGTGAAACCCTGCCTCAAAATGAAAAAATGCAAGCACTGGGTGCCATTCAGTACCTGTTCACCGGTCCCGCCCAGTCCTGCCCTGGACACCTCCAGCCGGAGCAGTGGCATCTCTGGGGGCGCACAGATCTGGAGAACCATTGGGGCGGCTGCTCTGCAAAGTCACCTTTGGGGAACGGGAACCTAGCTGTCACTCACTGCAGCGTCCAGGTCACAGCACCTGACCTTATCGTGTCACAGGCTCAGTTCTGCTGTGCCCGCAATCAGAGTGCTCGGTGACCCCAGGCTGAGAGGGGACTTGCGGACAGGGACAGCAGCTCACAGGAGGAAGCACCACGATCTGCACCGCAGCAGCAGCGCCCAAGAACGCAGCGCCTGGCGTTCACCCAGCTGCGGCCAGTCCCGGGCTGGCACCCAGGATCCACATAGCAAAGAAAGTGTCTATGGCTTATTTTATTTTTTTGAGACATGGTAGTAATAGTAGCTACGTAGTCCAGGCTGGCCTCAAACTCACTATGTAGCCCAGGCTGGCCTTGAACTCATGGCGATCCTCCTGCCTCAGCCTCCTGAGTGCTGGGATGACAGGTGAGTGCCCCCATGCCAGTCTCTTCTTTTTAAGGAGGAGTTTGTTTTGGTGCATGTTTCAGTCCTATCACTTTTTGAAGAACTTGTCCTTATGAGGGCAAAAAAATATTTTTAAAGACAGTAGCAGCTAAACAGCTGCCTGGGAAAAGGTGTGGAGAGGCCCCAGGGTGCCGGTTCAGATACAGGCTGTCCCACCCGGCCTGAGCCTCCTGGGCACCTGGGCACAGATCCGCCGATCACAGGCACAGATGACAGAGGCAGCAGGACACGTCCCCCGAGTTTCCCCCCCAAGCAGCCTGCAGATGCCCCCCCCCCCACATGGTCACTGAACTCGACATGGGCCCCTTCGTCACTGTAATTACAGACTTTTTCTAGAGTGCTCCAAGAAACTAATTTCTAGCATCCAAACTACAGCATGGGAAGATGCCCAGGTCATAGTAAAAGTGAGTCCTTAGGGCCAAACATCAACCCCACAGAAACAAGAAACACTGGAAGGTGAAATTGCATTTTCTGGAGGAGACAGGGAGGACCATGTGGAAAAGCATCATTTGGTGTGTGGAGTGTGGAGTTCTCTTTTTTGTGTTGAGACATGGTCTGGGTAGGTAGCCCAGGCTGGCCTCGAACTTGCAGCAATCCTCCTGCCTCAGCCTCCCTCAGCCTCCTGCTGAGAGGACAAGTGTGTGTCACGTCTGGTTTGTGGAATTCTTTTTAAAGTTTATAAACTGGTTCTTGCTCTGATCCCATAAGCCAGCCAATTAGATAATTTGAGATTAGAAAGCTCCTCATCAGCTAGGCGAATAATCAGAAAGCTTCATCACATGCATTGCTGGACGCTCAACACCGGAAGCTGCCAGTTTCACGTGACAAGAGCCTTGGCTGGAAGCGTCAATAACACATGCGGGATGCGGCCAGCGGGACATGTGTTATTGGACAGTCACAGGGACTAACCTCACGTGCAGAGAAAGGGGACACCGGCCCGGCTTCCCGTGGGGGCTGAAGTCACTTTGCTACTCTATCCCCCCACAGCCAGGTTTGTCTCGGTCTCAGGATCCATAGCACAACCCTCCCAATCCACTTGTCACCAACGTGGGTCACTGCGTGGACAACTGTGGCCCGCAAGAGCACCGTGTCCCATGACCACGCCCTGTGTTTGCTGGTGAAACTCTGCTCTAAGAGGACACCCAGGGACATCTCAGCGAGGGCACATCCTCTTTAAAGAGTCCCCAGAACCGGAGTGAGGAGAGGACCGGTGAGAGCGACCTCAGCCTCCCACAGTGTTAGGATATGGGAGGACTGTTGTGCAGCCTGGTCTCCTTTGCCATGCAAGGTTTTCACATGAAGTGACCACTAAATTAGTTTTGTTTTTGTTTTTTGAGACAGGGTCTCATTATATTGCCCAGCTGTGCAGGCTGGCCTCGAACTTGTGGCTGTCCTCCTGCCTCAGCCTCTCGTATGTGGGCATTACAGGCCACTGAATTGTGTTTTGTTTTTTTGTTTTTGTCTTTTTGAGACAGGGTCTCGCTATGCAGTTCAGGCTGGCCTTGAGCTCACTTTGTGCTGGTCTCGAACTCTCAACGATCCTCCTGTCTCAGCCTCCCGAGTGCTGGGATTACAGGCGTGCACAACCATGCATATGGTGAGATCTCCCCTGGATCCGGGGCTCTCAATTGCGTGCGCCACCTGGCGGCATGGAGGTGCCACGGCCGCGTGAGGTCCCCAGTCTTGGCGCGGGCGTTGGGGTTAGTGGCTCGGCCGTGACTGTGCGAGCTGCGACACAGGAACACTTACAACATACGCCCTAGCCTCAAAGGCCTGGGTGGGCCTCCCTAGGGTCCTCTTCATGAGCTCTTTGTGAAAACAGTAAGACTGAGTCTGCCAATAATCACGAGAGAACAAGGTAAAATAAACATGATGAAAGTCACCATAAGCCTATAACAGCTGACAGGCACCTGGCATGGAGTCCCAGCTCCTGCCCACTCCGGAAAAGAACACTCATGTCAGACAACAGCGGCTCACTTTGGGAATGAAATTGAGGACATGCTGTTCAGTTTCATTTTTCTTTGATTTTTTTTTTTTTTTGAGACAGGGTCTCCCCATGCAGCTCAGGCTGGCCTTGAATTTTTGAGATCCTCCTGCCTCAGCCTCCTGAGTACTGGGGTTACAGGCCTGTGCCACCACACCTGGCTCTCCTGTTTATTTACAAACAAAATCAGTTAGTTGTACTACAAGATGTTTGATAGGATTTCCACTCAGATAACTGAACTAAATGAAATGGGAACCTGAAAGCTTCAAAACATGATAAATTAAAAAACGTATTAGAGTCACAGAGCTGTTATTCTCCTAGGACAATTTTTCTAACTGAATGATCTTTGGCATAACAGTCTCAAGTGAAAAGGAAAATATGAAATGATAGCAAAGGCTGTATCACTTCAGCCATGTAGCCAAGCACCTTCTTGCTGAGACTAAAATAAAATATTTTCCCTCAAATTTTAGATCAGTTTTTAAAACAATTTTTTTAGTATTTCCTTCATTTATTTATTTTTTCTTGAGATAGAGTCTTGCTGTGTAATCCAGGCTGACCTTGAACTCACTATGGAGTCCAGGTTGGCCTTGAACTGGGGAATCTTCCTGCCTCAGCCTCCAGGTGTTGGAATCACAGGCCTTTAAATTCTTTTCTTTTGTTTTGTTTCCTTTTTTCTTTTTGCAGTGCTTCTTCTTTTTTTTGTTTTTTTTTTCCGTTCTGGTACCGGGAATCAAACTCATGACCTTGTGCTTGCCAGGCAGGTGCTGTGCTGCTGAGCTAAATCCCCAGCCCCTGCATTGCTTCTTTTTGCACTGCACTGTTCCTAGGGGAAGGAACATCTAGCCCTACAAAGAGACTGACCAAAAACAAGAGAAGCAAAACTATTTTTCTATTCATTACTAAGCTTCCTCTGCCCCCAGGGAAACACACTTACATTCAGGACATTTTCTTTGAAACAGAAATTTTCTGAGCACAGATTTGAGGAATAAAAACTAAAATTCGTTTTGCTGATGATGGTAAAAGAGGATTTTCCTTTAAAGTCATCAAAATAACCCATTTCCTGTTTCATTGTCTTTAAGTATTATATTTTCTCTCAACATCCTTTTCTTACATTTATTGAATGCTGAGAGTCTTTGCTCTTTTCCTAAACATTTAGAGAATTCCATGAAACACAGATTCAGAAATCATTTGCGAACAACAGACTGAGATCCAGACAGAAGCGGGGACCAGATAGGTAGACAGATGCCAGCGATCACAAGTGTCCAACAGATCCCATCATGCAAGTCCTGAAGACAACGCAGATCCATTTCGTATAGATGTGACAGAAGAAAACGTGGAGAAGGTGCTGGCAGGGACAAGGTTGCTGGCTCACAGCTAATAAGACACTATATAGCCCAGCTCACCCTGGCCTTGAGTTGGAAATTCCCCGATGAATGAGTGGACCTCTAAAAGCCGGCATAGACGAGCCAGGAAGCTGCAGACTCCTCAGCCGGCTCTCATAACAGAGCTCAGCAAATTCCTCAACGAACTCTCAACAAACTCCTTTTCTCAATCTTCTCTCTAAGCTGCACTGGCGTCTGCACTGCAGGATGGTCCCTTAATTACAGAGGCCGTCCTGTGCCTCCAGGACAGCTGCTCTGACTCAGCTCTATCGGATTCGGATTCGGATTCGGATTTGGATTCGGACCCCGAGAGATCTCCCCGAACGGAGGCTGCGGTTCCTCGGACCCCGCAGGCTGACTCCGTGCGGACATCCTGGGCCACCGCCGCCACACTTCACCTTCTCGCGCCCCGGCTTCTTTAGCGGTAAAATATGGCTCAGTCCACAAGGGGCTTCGTGAGCGACCGTCAAAAGCTGCAGAACTTAGCCCTGCGAAGGCCTGGACAAACGGCAGTGCGACTGCCATGTCACCCTTGGAGGATTACAGGTAGTGCAGCCCCGACCGAAAGCGCAGCCCTGACCGGAAGTGCTTGGGGCTACAAGCACTTGGACTTCCGATTCTAGAATGTGCGCATCCCCGTGCTAAGCCACCTGGGGGAGGGGCCCCAGCCTAGACCGGAAGTTCATTTCCATTTCATATGCGTCATACGCAGTCTAAAGTTAACTGTGCACAGTGTCTGCGGTGTGCTTGCTTGTGAGGTTTTTTGGTTTTTTTTGGTTGTTTTCCGGTACCGGGATCAAACTGACGACCTTAGGCTTCCCAGGCAGGCGCTGTGCCGCCGAGCTAAATCCCCAGCCCCTTTTTTTTGTCTTTTTTTGAGACAAGGTCTCGCTATGCACTTCAGGCTGGCCTTGAGACTTGCGAGATTTAGAGCCCCGGGCTTTGTGCATGCCAGGCCGGTGTGTCACTACTGAGCTCCATCCCTAGCCCCTGAGTCTGTGGCTTTGTTTTGGTTTGGATTTTTGAGACAGGGTCTTGCTATGTGGTTCAGGCTGGCCTGGAACTCACAGTGATTCTCCTGCCTCAGCCTCGAGAGTGCTGGTGTGACGGGCCTGCCTCTCTGAGCCCGGCTGTGTTTGGGTTTTGCCTGTGGCCTGCCTCCCGAGCTCAGGTGTGCAGTTTTCCCCTTGCGGGGTGTGCGGGCCCTCACCGGGTTACAGATTCTGGGACACTTCAGATTTCTGATCTCCGTACCAGGGCTGCTCACCCTGCACTGGGCAAGGGCTCTTCCAGGCAAGAGATTCTTTATCAGCAGCGCCCTAGGGCCCCACTAAATAGCTGCCGAACGGCAGGTCCCCCCTGGGGCTGGGGTACAGCTCCACAAGGCACTGACATGATGCTCGCATGGCTTCAGGAATTAGTAAGCAAATATTTTCTGACTGTGCAGTCCCTCCCAGTTCCTCATTCTCCGTTCCAGAAACTGAATCTGCATTTCCTTTTTTGGTGAAGTCAAGGTGAAAGCTGAGATGCTTTAAAGGGGAAGTAGAGAACAGTCCTTTCAAAATGAGCCAGAGACAAAAGAAACGCGGCTGGCTGTCACTTTCCTTCCATCGGCCCACCCGTGCCTTCTTCCTTTTTTAGTTTTTGAGGCAGGGTCCTGCTGTGCAGCTCAGGCAGGCCGTGAACTCACAGTGATCCCCCTGCTTCAGCCTCCCCAGTGCTGGGGTTACAGGCCTGCGCCACCACACCCAGCCCCTTCCTTCCTTCTTCCTCTATCTTCTCTCCAGCTATAATGAATCTTAGGTTTTTTTTTTTATGTCACAGGAAACACGGGATTCATTCACAAGCAAAGCAAGTTATGCAGAACGAGACAGGAGCGACGCGTGCGCAGAGACAGACTCCGGCAGCACTTACCCCTCGCTTTAGACTCCTGAAGCAGTGCATTTTGGGTTTGGAGGTCATGAACTCGTTGAAGCGATGGGAGAGGGGCTCCTTTGGCTGCTTGGGAGACTGAGGGCCGTTGGGAACAGCAGAGGGTGAGGCGGAGGTGGGGGGCGGAGGGGGGGGCTGATGGGGGGACGTTAAAAGGGACACAAGCTACGTGTGAGATGAGCGGTGAGAGAGTAAACCAGAAACAGGAAGACACAAAACAAAAATAAGCATCAAATCATATTGGAAATCCAAAGCAAGTAAAACACAAACCATTACATATTCGGGCCATGGTCCGAAGGAAAGCAAGCGCGCGCCTTGCCATGGAGGAAGGGACGAGGGGGGGGGTTAGCGAGTTTCGCGACAGAGGAGGAGCTCATGCGACGTCCACAAGCCAACTACCGCTCCGTTAGTCATTCTACACCCGCTCTAAGCCAGGAGGGTCGGGGGCTCCACCTCCTACGCTACCGGAGCGAATGGAAGAAAACAGAGACCTTAGATGCTAAGGCAGTCTTTACGTGAACCGCTGAACCACCCTCTACAGTTAGAGCATAGCGTCACCTTGACCCTACTTTACGTCGCCAGGTTAGGGCCGCCATGCACCCCGTACCACGCTATGCAAGGAAAGTGCGCACCGTCCCGGGACACGCGTGTTAACGTGAGTTCAAGACCGAGCTGTCAGCCGTGGCAAAGAGCTGATGGGTTGTTACAGCGACAAGGCATTGTCCCCTCTCCCAGCCGGGGCCTGTGGCCATCTCGGGGGGCCTGGGGCCAAAGGGGACACGCGACAGGGCCGCACAGTCAGTGCTCTGTTAGTGGGGTGACTCGAGCTGAGAGGACGGGCCTGACGTAAGACAAGGCCGTGGCAGAGCTGCCGCCACCGCTGCCACCGAGACATCAAGCCGCGCGCTAGCTGTGCGCTCACCCATTCCGAAACTACAGGTTTAAGAGCTCAGGTGTTTTTTTAAGACTAAAAGATACAGTTACAGTCTCCGCACTTCATCCAACCCGACTCGCGCCTGGTTCAAACCCTCAGTACCTTGTTTTTCTTGATGAACGGCCACAGCTTCCCCTTGGATTTGCCGCCGAACTTGAGCTCGGGCTTGCCGTCCCCGCGGGGGTTGGACAGGCTGTTGTCCGACACCGTGCGCTTCATGGGCTGCGTGTAATCCTCAAACTCGATGTCCCCGGGAGGCTCGAAGCCTGACTTGTAAGCTTCGATCACCAGCTGTGAGTCCTGAAGGGACACCCACAAACGCGGAGGTGCAGTCAGTGGGTGCAAGGGCCTTTTCTTCCTCCCTTGCGGCACACAAGGAACTCAGGGAGCCCCGAGCCACAACCTCACCCCTTTCTACTGATTAGTTTTCAGACACAGTTTTGCTAAAATGCCCAGGCCGGCCTCAAACCTGCATTCCTCCTGCTGCAGCCTCCCAAGGAGCTGGGATGACAGATGTACACCACCGCCCCCTATTTATGCAAATACTTTTTACACGAAATTATGGTGCTCTTATATAGATGCTACTTGAAGAAAATTATACTGACTGATATTTTGCCGTTATCACTAGAATGAATGAATAGAATTCATAAAAGCCTATCTCTAGTTGAGATCTGAAGGTATTTTCATTAGTCATTTTTCTACTTTTGGAGAAACAAGTCTTTATTTAAAAGTTTGGTGTGGTGGTGCATGCCTATTATCTCAGTACTCAGGAGGCTGAGGCAGGAAGATCGCTGCAAGTTCAAGGTCAGCAAGGACTACATAGTGAGTTCAAAAGCAGCCTGCACTACATAGCGGAGACCCTGTCTCAAAAAACCAAGAATAACAAATAATAAGAACTTAGTTAAAAAGCAGGAAAAAAGAAAACAAATCAGTGAACCATGATGAGGCACCTCCTTTGAAATTCATCCTAATGCATACATCTGGCTTTCACTAGAAGTTTTTTGTTTTGTTTTGAGGCAGGGTTGAGATATGGAGCTGGCCTGAAACTTGCAGTGACCCTCCTGCCTCAGCCTCCAGCATGCACTACCATGCCCAGCACTAGCTTTGTCTAGGTCCCCTTGTCTCTCTGCCCCCTGGTCTCCACATGAAGATCCCGCTGGGGACGAGGTGCGCAGGCCGGGGGCCGAGCTTGAGGCTCGGAGGTGACCAGGGTCCCCCTGCGGGATCGGGTGGGTGGGGCCGGGTCCCGGGGGTGTTCTGAAGGCAGAGGCAACAACGGGGCCAGCTGCCACCTGAGGCATCGAGGACGGAGACACAGGTGCCTGTGCGGAGGGAGGCTGTGGGGACAGGGAGGCCTGGGGGGGCAGCAGGTGGCCAGGAGGGCGGGAGCTCCGACCCAGAGGGCGGGAGGGAGGCACACGTCTGTGAGGTAGCCCTGGGAGAGGCAGCAGGCCCGCAGGCCGCCATGGGTCCGCGCCAGCCACGGGAGGTGGAAGGCAGTGCTGCCTGTGCTCAAGTGCAGTGAAGACCGCGACCCAGCCTGCAGCGCACAGCTATCACCCCAGCACTCAGGAGGCTGAGGCAGGAGGATCACTGGGAGTTCATGGTGAGATCAGTGCGAAACTCTGTCTCTCTCTCTGTGTCTCTCACACACGCACATGCACACACGTGCTTATGACCCCAACAGGCGACTCCCCTCCACGGGGCCCTCGATGGGGCGACACGAGGAACCACGGCCGCCACTCACACTCTTCTGGTCGATGGCCTCGGCGGCCGTCACGATGCCGTCCAGGCACTTGCCGATGATGGGGATCACCTGCCGGTCCACCTCGGCGTAGGTCTTCATGCTCTCGCCGATCTTCACGATGCGCCGCTCCTCCATCTCTTGGATTTTCTGCCGCATCAGAGTTTGGGTAAGAAAACCTGGGCCACAACTACTTCAGGAGGGGTCTGGGGCAGCACTGTTCCCACTGGTGAATCATAAGGCTGGGAGCTGCAGCGCAGGTCCTGCACACCCTCTCGCCCTGCTGACTGCCCCAGCGTCCGCCACACCCAATTCTGTTGTTCCTTTGGTTTTCCGAGACAGCCTCAAACTCAGCGTTCGCCCGCCTCAGCCTCCCGAGCGCTGGGATCACAGGTGTGCGCCGCCGCGCTGGGCTCGGTCTCTGTCTTTCTCTGGGCCTCGACCCCACCAAGCCAGTCCCGGACCCCCGAGCTCCACCCCCAGCCCACTCACTGCATTTCTGACAAACCAAAGCAGCCAAAGGAAAACAATGCGAACAAAGGAAGAGCCATTGTTCAAAGTGCAGCGGGGTGAATGTGGCTTTGTCTCCCACGGGGAAGCTGGCATTTCTGTGGCCAGAATGGCCCTTTTAGCAAAGAGGACACAAATCTAAGAGTCACAGTTCTAAGGCTGGGAGGGAAAACAAGAAGCTGCAGGTGCAGACCAAGGAGGTCTGCCACGGCTGCGCACTGATCAGCTCCGTCACGTTTCACGTTTACGGCCGGCCGGGCTCACTGTCATGTTTCCAAAGGGGCGCTAGAATCCCTCAGAACACAGACCCCGCCACGGCGCCTCTCCGCATGGGTGGAGGGGTCGGGCCGGAAGGCGCACCTGGAAGATGTTGGGGATGTGGGTGTGGTAGTACTCGTGCTGCTCCTGGTTGAACTTCTGCAGGATGGAGGAGTAGTCGGCTCTGCTGTCCTCTGCCATCTGGTGTCGGATCTGAGCCTGCTGCCGCGCCTAGGGCAGAATGAGAAACCGCACATTCACACAACAGCGTGCCGGGCCTGGGGCACCGCAGAGTGCTGTGTGGAGCGGGTGGTATTTATCTACCTACCTGCCCACCTATCCATCCATCCACCCACCCATCCGAGACAAGTTCTTGTTAGCTAGCTCAGGTGCTAGAATTCACAGCAATCCTCCTGCCTCAGCCTCCTGAGTGCTGTGATGACAGGCACTCACCACGCCTTTCTGCAGGTGCTATTTTAAAAAAATGCCTTGGCTGGGATGGCACACCCCTAGTATCACAGCACTTAGGAGGCTGAGGCAGGAGGATTACTGCAAGTTTGAGGCTTGTGTGAGTTACATCATGTGTTCAAGGCCAGCCTGGACTGCACGAGAATCTGTGCCACCCCCCTAAAAAACAAGAAAAAAAGTCCTGAATCTGAAATTTCTTTAGGGAAGGAATGTGTCTTAGCTTGTCACAAACCCACTGTCCTCTGTCGTGTTCACACGCATGGGTCCCGGGCTGACATAGCGCCTGTGCCCCCGACAGTCTGCTCCCGGGACAGCTCACACCATGCTCCCTGGACCTTGCTCCTGCGGTGTGTTGTGGGATAAGGGAGAACTCAGATATTTTAAAATCCAATTCCCAAGGGGTCAAGGAACCAGAAAGACAGGAACCGCTGTCCTCAGGGGATCTTTTAAACCATCACCTGGTGGCCGGGCATGGTGGCGCACACCTGTAATCCCAGCACTTGGGAGGCTGAGGCAGGAGGATCGTTGCAAGTTCGAGACCAGCCTGGGCTACAAAGTGAGCTCAAGGTCAGCCTGAACTGCATAGTGAGATCCTGTCTCAAAAAGACAAAAATAAAAATAAAAATAAAAATCACCTGGTGACACTGACCCAACCGTAGTACAGAGCCCGCCCTAGCCACCTGCCGAGGACAGGGCTCACCCCAGGTGGCCAGTAAACTCCATGCTGCAACCCAGGAATGAGGGCTGCTCCACACCCGAGATGGCACAGCTTGGCAGCCTGTTTTTGTGTGCCAGCTGGACAGAAAGCAGAGACCTGATGGGGGAAAAATGCAAGCTTGTGGCACATGCCTGTCATCCCAGCACTTGGGAGGCTGAGGCAGGAGGATCCCCAAGAGTTTGAGGCCAGCCTAAACTACATAGCAAGATTCTATCTCAAAACAAAAACAAATACAAGAAACTGTGAAGCAAGGCTGTGCTGAGGAGGAGGAGAAGCCAGGCCCCAGCCGAGCACCCCCTCTTCTGGATGCTTTGCATGATTTGCATGTGGTGTGATGCGCAGGCCCGGGGCACAGGCTGGGGACACCACAGCGGGTCACTCGGTGTTCTGTGTGTCCTCCTGATTCACCTGTGCCTCCCTGCCAGGAGCCTGGTCACCCCCTCCTCTCACTATGGCTACCAGGGCTCACCCCTCTGACCCCTAGGCCCCAGCCTGCATGGCCACGGTGATGGGCCGAAGCTGCCCACGGCGGCGCCATCTGTGTCCCCATGCTGCCAGCGCAGGCACCTGGCTCTCTCAGCCGCCTTCTGCCTCTGCTGTCATCGCCCTTACGGACATTAAGAGAAAAACCCAGGGGATCCCCACAGAGACCTCAAGGTTCTAACATGCTCCGTCTCACCCACACACCTTCCTCGGAAAGGCGCGAAAGTCCACGGGTGGGTGGGGAAGTCCCTTCTCCTTGGTAACGCAAAGAACAAATGAAGAGAGAAAGAGCTTACACTGGGCAAGTGAGTCTCCCTTAGGGAAGTTCTTCTGCCTCTTTTTTTTTTGTCTTTTTGAGACAGGGTCTCACTATGTAGTTCAGGCTGGCCTTGAGCTCACTTTGTAGCCCAGGCAGTCTCAAACTCACAATGATCCTCCTGCCTCAGCCTCCCAAGTGCTCAGATTACAGATGTGCGCCACTACACCCGGCTGCTTTTTTTTTTTTTTAATTTACTTTTTTTTGAGGCAAGGTCTCCCTGTGTAATTCACATTGGCCTCAAATTCACAGTGATTCCCCTGCCTCAGCCTCCAGATCATAAATCTGCTCATACCAACCTAGTAAACCCTTCTCCTGGGAACAGTCCGCAGGTCCCCAGCACCACAGGGCGGGAACACGGTGAGCTCCTTCCCCTAGCTCCAAGGTCTCTTCGGCGTAATCGCTGACCCGAGTATCCTGATGCCCTTTACTGAGTTCCCACGCAGGCACCCTGACACAGCGCTGACCCCAGGGAGGAGCGATGGGGAAGTGACTTGTGGGGACCCTGCCCAGGCCAGCCAGGGAGAAATGCGAAGTGCTGCAGGGCCTCTCTGAGGTTTCTCTCCAATGCAAAACCTCGGCCCTCAGACGCCAGGCACAGGGAAGAGAGAACCAAAGTACCGCTGTGCGCCAGACTCGCAAGGCCCGGCAGGAGACCCAACCCGCTCAGCGCCAGCTGCAGCTGCTTCGGATTAATGTCCACCCTCGGCAGAGGGAGGAATGTTCCCTTGTGCTGAACGGATTCGCTACGGAAATCTATTTTGGTTTAGAGAGCCCTCATGTTTATTTTACAATGGAATTCAAGAGTCACTGGTTTCTCGCAGGCAGTTACTCATTATTACAGATACATTTAAAAAAATATCTTAGCCAGGCGTGTGGCGCATGCCTGTCAGCCTAGCACTCAGGAGGCTGAGGCAGGAGGATCGATTCAAGTTCAAGGCCAGCCTGGGCTACATAGTGAATTCAAGGCCAGCCTGAGCTGCGTAGCAAGACCCTGTCTCAAAAAACAAAACAAAACAAAAAACAACAACAACACAAAAATCTTTTTTTTTTTTTTTTTTTGGTCTTTTTGAGACAGGGTCTCACTATGTAGTTCAGGCTGGCTGTGAGCTCACTTTGTAGCCCAGGCAGGTCTCGAACTTGCAACAATCCTCCTGTCTCAGCCTCCAAAATCTTTAAAAGTATTTTCAAAACTGTCCCTGGAGCCACAAGGAGGTGATAACACATTTGCCGGAGCTGATCTTCTGCTGTCTGAGGCAAAAGGGAGACTTCATCACCTCCTCCCACCTCTGCGGGAGTCAGTGTGAAAACAGCACCTCACCTCCACCCCAAACCACATTGCATGCTAATTCTCTAACCTGAGTTTCCCACTCTAAAAATAAGGAGAAGCAGCACCAGAGCGGAGATGATGCGGGGTGGGTTGGTTTTGCTTTTTGAAAATGAGTCCCAGAGCCGGCATTCTCAAAGCCCCAAAGTGCCCCAGCTGCCCGAGGCCGTGAGTCACAGACAGCTCTGACTGCAAGGCAGACCACGCAGCATCCACAGAAACAGCCATTGTGAACTTTGGAATTTCCTGACAAACCCTCAGGGTCTCCCTAGATAAACCCAGGCGGCTTGGAGTGCACAGGCTCAGTGACCCTTTCCTGCTAGGCTAGCCTCGGTCCCTACACTGCCCAAAAAGTCAGAGTTGCCACTTCTTTTTTGCAGGGGAGTGGTGGTTTTTTGAGACAGGGTCTCACTGGATAGCCAAGGCTGGCCTCAAACTCAGAGATCCTCCTGCCTCAGCCTCCCAAGGCTGGGGTCACAGGGGTGCAGAGCTACCCTTTCTAAACCAAAACTGAACTACAGCCTGAGATTTTAAAATCCTAAAGAGTTTAAAGACAAAAGTACTGTAATCTATAATCTACTTAGTTTGCTAATTTTAGATGTTTCTTGCATGGCCAAAATGTGACGCTATTTCCTGTCTAATTCAATATGACTTCTCCCTTAGTATTTCAAATATTAAGGACAGAATAACAGCTCACTAAGGAGCCTGCTCACTAGGGCTGGAAAACACTTGCCTCTGTCTTCAAAGCTATCTGTGGCTTTGGTTAGTTTGATCTTTTTGTTTTTTGAGACAGGGTCTCGCTATGTAGCCCAGGCTGGCCTCATACTCATGGCAATCCTCCTGCCTCAGCCTCCCGAGTGCTGGGACTATAGGCCTATGTGGCACCATGTCCTGCTTGTGGCTTTTGGCTTTTAATAAAATGAGGAACTATGAACTGGTTCCCTGTACACATCAACTGAATACTTAATGAGATGTATTCGTTTTGTGAACAAGGCTGTGGACCTCTCAGAATTTTTACCCACTGCCGTTCCTTAGATGATAAAGTATGCACTGGAGCAGTGTTCCGAGCTTTGTTTAAGAAGTCACTTTCCCTCCTTTGTTAAAGGATACAACAGTGATGTGTGGTGGCGCATGCCTGTGGTCTCAGCTCTTGCTGGAAGCTGAGGCAGGAGGATGGTACCTTTGAGGAGTCCAGCCTTGGCAATAAAACCACTTAAGCAAGACTATCTCAAATAAAAATATTTTAAAAAGCTAGGGGCCAGGAATGGTGGTGCACAAGGCTAGAACCCCAGTACTCAGGAGGCTGAGGCAGGAGGATCACTGGTGAGTTAGAAGCCAGCCTGGCTACATAGTGAGACCCTGTCTCAAAAAAAAACCAGAATATGCATGTGCACACACGTGTGTGGAGACAGTTTGACTTTACTATACAGAGAAGAGAAATCCTCAACTCACTTTGTAAATGCAGCTCTAGAAAAGACACGCTCCTTACTAAAGTCCAAGGTGAGTCACGCGGCACACACCGCGCAGAAATGGACTCGAATTTCAGCCGTGCTTCCTTCGGGGGACGAGCTCGGTGGCAGGTCAGGCACTGTCCACCCTTGGTCCCCGAGTTGCAGCAGCTGCTTAGACAAGAATGCTCAGTACTTCTGGGGCCAGCAGTGCACACTTTTAATCCTTCCTGCTGGGGAGGCTGAGGCAGGAGGATGACAAGCTCGAGGCCAGCCTGCACAGGACCCTGGGTTCCATCCCTAGCACTGCCCAAAACAAAAGGCACAAACAAACAAAGTCCTGAACAGTGTGCGCTCTACAGATGGCCCAATCGTGTCCACGCCAAGAAGCTAACACACAAATGAGTCCCAAGCTGCCCGGCTGGAAAGATATAAGCCCGTGCTGGGGTGATGTTTCTGCAATCCTTCCGT